AAACATCGATGTGAGGGCGAAACATTGATCAGTTGCCTCCTGCACCCACCCAACCGGGGATCAAACCCACAGTCTGAGTATGTGCCCTGACTGGGAATAGAACCAGCGACTTTTTAGTGCATAGGGACAACACTCAAATAACTGAGCCACACTGGCCAGGGCTGAACTTCACTTTCTACCAAGTACAATGCCATAAAGATTTGAGATAATAGATGGGAAATTTGGGGCCCAGTGCCTGGAAAATAATGGGTATTTGATAAATGGTGATACTATGAATGATGATGATGATGATGATGATGATTCTGTATTGACTGTTACTATGTCGGGCACAGGGCTAAGCACTTTGCGTGTGTGAAATATTTTGATCCCCGTAATCAATCTTTATCCACACGGGAACATGCTCCCTCCTCCCACCCGGCCCCACTGGTCTTTCTCACCAGGCACCCACCCCTGGGGCAGGTCCCTGAGTGTGAATAATGCCGCCCAGGAGAGCAGGTCCTTGCACTGGGCTGCATCTTCACTGGGGTGGTCGGAACCTCTCCCCGACCCACAGCTTTTCGTTAGCATCGTTGTGGTTTCTTTCATTCAGCGCTTGGCGTGTTGGATAAACTTCGGTTCCCCACCTTTCTAAGAACATTTTTGTTTGTTGCAGTGAGAGATTTGAAGACTTTGTGATTTCCTTCTTCTTTTTGCTTTGTTATTTTTTATACCATTATTTGAAAATTCTTTTAGATTTACAAACGAGTTGTAAAAATGGTACCGAGAGTTCACCCAGCTTCCCTTCGTCTTACATAAGGTTTCATAACCGCAGCACTTTCATCAGAATGAAAACTTGACGCTGGCACCTCACTGTGAACTACAGACTTCATTGGGATCTCACCAGTTGTTATTTCTTTAAATATATTTTTATTAATTTCAGAGAGGAGGGGAGAGGGAGAGAGAGATAGAAACATCCACGATGAGAGAAAATCATTGATCAACTGCCTCCTGCATGCCCCACACTGGGGATCCAGCCCGCACCCCGGGCATGTGCCCTCAGGGCAATTGAACTGTGACTTCCTGGTTCATAGATCTATGCTCAACCACTGAGTCACACCAACCGGGCTGGATCTCACCAGTGTCTCCACAAATGTCCTTTTTCTGCTCTAGGATAAATGCCGCATCACATGTTGCCATCATGTCTCCTCAGTCTCCTTTGTTCTGTGGCAGTTTCGCAGCCTCTCTTTGGTTTGTCATGGCTGTGGCTTTTGAAGAGTTCTGGTTAGCTGATCTGTAGATTGTCCCTGAGGCTTTGTCCGATGTTGCTCCTGAGTAGACTGGGGTTATGGAGCTGGGGGAGGAAAACCACACGAGTGAGGCGGCCTTCTCGTATCACATCTGGGAGTAGGTGCCATCAGCATGCCTTGTTCCTGGTGATGTGAGTCCGGCCTGGGGCTCCACTATAAAGTGGCTATTTTTCCTTCTTCCATGTACTCGAGAAGCAAGTCACTAAGTCCATTTCCATTAGAAGAGAATTAAGCTTTACTTCCCAGAGCAAGGAGTATCAAAGAATTTCTGGACATCTGTTTAAAGCACAATTAATATTCTGAAGAAGATACTTTGAGGCTAGGCAAATATTCTATTTATCCTTAAATTTTCACCCACTCTTTTAGCATTCATCAGTGGATCTTGCCTGCAGCAACTATTAATGTGCTATAGAACAATTCTTATTTATTTTATTATATTTGAGGGGGGTGGTGTGTGTGTGTGTGTGTGTGTGTGTATTTTCTGCAAAAGACTTTATTGTTGCCATTTGGTCCAATGCATGGGAGAGGGCTCCAGGTGGTTAAAAGAATGGCTAGTGGTTTCTGGGAGAGGCTCAGGCAAAAGCCAGACACCAGGGGAACGCAGAGGGGCCCCTCAAAGGCCTCTGGGCTCCAAAGGCTCCTAGGCCAGCTTGAGGGTGAGCCTTTCAAAGAGATACTTGCCCAGCCCAGCCTGGGGGCCGGCAGCCTGCGGAGGTGAGTCAGGTGTGGCCCATCTTCTTCAGGAGTTTCACCTGCTCATCCAGGAGGTGGTTCTCCAGGAGGTCACAGAGCTGAGGGTCCGCATGGGTAGAACCTAGGGCCTGCAGCTCCACAAGGGCCTGGTTCAGGGTCTCTCCAAGGCCAGGGCGGCTTCCACGGCGTCCTGAGCTTTGCCTACTCACCCTGGGGAGGCTCCAGCACGTCCTGGGAGGGAATGTGGCCACGAGCTGGTTTTGCATCTTTAAGAGACGCTCAGCGCCCTCGTGCTTCACCAGCTTGTGAAGAACTGGCCCAGGGACAGGTAGGTGTGGGAGGCCCACGGGTGCAGGTTGCTAGGCGGCTACGGCAGCTTCCACCTGGGTGGAATAGTTCTGACGAATTTGGGCGCTTGCTTGTCTGGCAGTAAGGAGCTAAAGGTAGAGAAAGCACAGTGTGTTGGCTGGTCGCAGAGGTGGTTCCGAAGTGGAGACTGGAAAAGATGGTGGAGGGTGGTCGGAGGCTGGAAGAAGGGGTGTCCCTGGGTCTGTTCCATCCACACGCTGTTGCAGCAAGAGACAGAATTGGGACCGCCAAGGGCGCCGTCTAGAACACCTTTTAACGCAAAAGGTACCACAGTGTTCATTGTTTGAGAACATCTATAATGTCAATAAGCTTTTGTGAAATCAGTGTTTGTATGGTCGGAACCACAGTACAATCGACAGGGTCTCAATGGATTTTAAACCTATTGTACTCAAGGCTGATTTAGAGCTGGCACACCCCCACCCTCACGTTGGCTCTGATTTTTTTTATTGAAATACTGGTGCCCTCACTGGTAAGTAGTTCTTGCTGCACCTCTCCAAATTCCTCCCCTCCCCAAGTCTTTGGAGACCTCTCCTGCTGTCTCCACAGTTAAAAACAAAACAAAATTCTCCAGGCAGTTCAGTTATGAGCACATGGCAAAGGTCTGTCACAATCTCGCTGCCAGGGAAGGGTCTCCAGCAGGCCAGTTCCAAGATGCGATCCTAGAAGCAACACTTTCTGGGGAAAGAGAATGTCTACAATGACTACTGTTAGATTAGCAAGAAAAGGAGAACACTGCGCACTTACCAGTCAGGTGAGAGCATCGGCTTTGGGAATTGGTTTGGGGACAGTTTGTGTATTTAACGCTATCCAGCTGCTGAAGAGTTAATATTGGCTCAGGACTGGAGCCTCCTGTGCCCCTCCACCCCAGCGTGGGGGTAGGTGCCTTCCATTCTGATGGTCAGCCCTGTGCTGGGCAGATAAGTACTGTGAATAGTATCCAAGTGTTGTGTATAACACAAAGCATCCTACATAATAAAAGGCTAATATGCAAATTGTCCCCTTGACCGGGAGTTCTACCAAGGGGCAGGGCGGGCTGGCCAACCTCCTGCGTCTCCTCCCCTGGGCTGGCCCGGTCAGGGCGGGCCGGCTGTACCCCACCCATGCATGAATTCGCGCACCGAGCCTCTAGTCCAGGGGTCCTCAAACTACAGCCCATGGGCCACATGCAAATACAAATATTGTATTTGTTCCTGTTTTGTTTTTTTACTTCAAAATAAGATATGTGCAGTGTGCATAGGAATTTGTTCATAGTTTTTTTTAAAACTATAGTCTGGCCCTCCAGCGGTCTGAGGGACAGTGAACTGACCCCCTGTTTAAAAAGTTTGAGGACCCCTGCTCTAGTCCTATATAATAAAGAGCTAATATGCAAATGGTTGTCACGCCCTCGTGCCAGGACCAGGGGACCTGAAAGCTGCCCCCCCCCCCAGCAGGACTTGACCAGGGTGGGGCCGGCTGGGTCTGGATCTCGTGCAATTTCTAGGAGTGCGCGGGTGGACGGGGACTTGACTCTGGGTCCTGTGGTATGCCCCAGACTCTGACAGGAGGGAGATTTTCATATACATTTTACTAATTTTCTTTCATCTCTGACACTTCTATTATAGAGAAAGGGCAAATAGCAATATTAAAATATTTCCTCTAATTAATTCCCTTTTAATGTGTATTAATTTCGTGCACCGGCCAGTAGTATTAAATAATCAGCCTACAGTTTGGTTCAGGTACAATTCGATTCGGCTCAGAGAAAGCAGGCGTTGGAGCCAGAAAGAACTGGTTTTGGAAACCAGTATCCAGTACAAGTTCTGGAACAATCTGTTTTGGGACAAGTCGCTGAACCTAACTTTACAGAAAGTAGGTAGGGATGCTGTGAGGATTTGAAATAATGGAGGGGAAATTTTTAGCACAGTGTCTGGAAAATAATTGGTATTGGATTAATGATACTGCTATTAATTCTGATGATAAATATTGATTGATCTATACTACATCAGGCACGAACCTCAACATATTACCTGTGTTATTAATTTTAATCTTCACAATAACTCTGTGAGTTAGATGCCATGAGTCTCACCCCCAGTTTACAGATGATGAAATCGAGGCTCAGAGAATTCAAGTAATACAGTTTAAATTCACAGAACGTTGGTGGAGCGGAGATTCAAACCCAGGCAGCCTGGCATCAATGCGTCTATGATAAGCCTACAGTACACGTGGGTGCCCGGTAATTCTTGGCAACAACCCTAAAGCCTTCTAGAATTCTAGAATTCTGCAGCCCACAGGTTGGGAGCTCTTGCCATAGACCAAACAGACCTTTGGCTTCTTACAAAACATTTCTGACATCAGCAGGGTTTGGTACTTATTTTTATAACTTTATGGCAAGAGGAAGACAGATCAAACAAAAGAGATTCACACAGTTATCCAGAAACAAACAGTGCATGTCATAAGTCACTCGGCGGGCAGAGCAACAGTTCAGAAGCAGTCATTGGATATTACACTCCCCCCACTAAAAGACTCTCAGATCCCCCCATTTGAGAATCACTGCCCAGTCACCCACTGTTCTAGATTTCATAAAACTTCCCCAAACTCTGAAGGTATCAAACCAAGTGCAAAATGAGAAAACAGGGCTTCTCTTTAATAGAAGGTGAAAGTGGGGGTGGCCTGCAGAGAATTCCTTTGTCTGCTTTAGAAGAGAAGGTGCCCCAATTCCCTCCTGTCCCCCCTCTAAGGGTGAGGTAGGATGAAAGGTGTTTCCTCCACAGCCCACTTCCCTCCACCTCCTCCAGTGAACTGCTGTGAATCTGAGCTCTGGCCCTGCTGAGGGGCAATCCAAGTCCTGTGGTTTAAAAGGAGCTGCCCAAACGTGAGGGGTCTGGGACTGAGAACCAAGTGGCTCACTCAGACAGTGGACACCCTGGGACACTTAGAGATGCAGCCCAAGAGGTGACCGGGCCCTGCATGATGTGGGGGTTGGGGGTGACGCCTACACACACTGCTGGGAGCAGGGACAGGGGCGCCACTGCCGGGAGGGGTGCAGCGTGAGTGCCATATAGGGAAGAGGTGCCTCATGGCAGTGACAGTGACTGCCTACGGACTCTTGTCCCCATCTCAGGAGTGAAAGTGAAGCAGGCCCACTGCGCTTGGATTTGAGGGAGCCTGGCTGTTCTTGAATGACCCAAAGTGCTCAGAGCAGCGGGGGAGGCATTGCCCACAAAGACGTCTGGACTTCCTGCTAATCCTGTTGGGGTGTTCAAGACAGTTTAAATTTAATTTGGATTTTTAAAAATTTAAGACACCTTATGAGTTATTTCCCAGTTACAAAAGTGTAACCATAGCCTCCTGCCGAGCTTCCCTCCATGGGACAGTGACTGCTGGAATGGGGACTTGGCAAGGCCCGGCGTCCCTGGTCACCCCGTCACCCATCCATGCTCACTCCCCCAGGAACCCACAAAGCCTCTTTGTGTGTGGTGAGCTGCAGCCTAGGCGGTTGGAAGGGCCTGGCTGGTGCTGTGATAGGAGGTAGAAGAGAGAGAGAG